CAACACCAAAGCTGCTAACAGCTGACAAGCAGTTTGTGTCTGCATGTGTGTGTTTGTGCAACCTGCAGAGACTGTCCTCCTGTGAGAGATACCCAGCAGGGACATGCCAATAAAAACTCCAACAGCAGCTCAAGTAAACATACCGCCGTGACCTATTTGCGATGTTAGCTTGATAGGAAGCAAAAGGACAATTTGGTCTACAAAATCTCAGCTATTAACAGCCAATGGGGAAACTTGATCAGAAAGAGTTTCAGCCAGTGTTAGCACCATCTGCTGGCAGTGATCCACAGTGTGGTAGTTTTGATTAACCAGATCATTGAGGGTTAATGAGAAAAAATATAAAACAGTGGGGTTCCTTTTGTTTGTTTTGTTTTTTTGCAGACCTTAGACAAAACCTGATTTCATCTAAAGGTATCAGCCAACACCAAGGCATCAACTGAAATAGCTGCCTGGGCCATATTGCTGCACACGAAGGGGTATAAAGGCCTGTTAGGCTAAAATGCAACAACTATGCCTGCATCTCTTGGAAGAGTTACAACACAAATGAGTATCCGTCTGCAGCTGTCTGGGTCCAATAGGGCTGAGCCATACTGAATCACCCCTAATAACATCGGTTTAAATTTTGAAGTTAGATAAAAGTGTCATAGCATGACATCATAGCAAGACCACGTGTTTATTTTTCCTAGTGCACAACGAGATGAGCCCAGGGATCTCTGAGAGCGAGAGCCACGTGTCAGCATCCACTTACAATTCAGTGCTCACCTCAACCTCCAACAAAGCACAGTACTACTAGTAGTAGAAAAATAAGCAAGAAAACTGCTCCTGCTGGAGATGGACAACTGTGGCAAATATGTTTCACCACAGATATACCTTCAAATTGAACCAGCCAACAGCTGGTGACGTGTGACCCAAAAGTAAACAAATGGCTCAGCGACCATCTCTTTTAAAACTACTGCACTATATTGCTGCTGCTGCACCTTGTAGCAATAGATTCACCCATTGCATTGGGTGGTCACAGTAACTCACTGAAAAATATTTTTCATTTTGCCAGCATAAAAAAATGCAACTGCCTGCAAGCGATTACAGATCACTTAATTTTTTTGTCTGTATCCTCATAAATATAATTTATATCATGAATATAATTTTCGCAAATTCCCTTAAAAAAAACCATGATAGAATTTGGAAGCTATATCCTTACCAATCCCTAGTGTCCACTTCAGAAACATTATAATCACTATAATTAATACATTAGAATCATACAAACAACACATTTTATATATAAAGTGAAAATCACTTGTTTTACATTTCAATAAACAAGAAGAAAACAATGTGTATTGATCTAAAAGGTAAATTGCTCAACAGCAAGTGTAATTACAAAATTTAAAGATGATCTGTACACATCCCTATTTTTAAAAAAATATTCCACAACACGCTGAGACTCACCCTGAGATTAGTGCATCAAACTAACCCGACAGCATCCCATCTGAAAAGGCTGTGAGCTTTCAAATGTGTCACCGCTGCTGCTGACTCATCAACAAAACTCAACAATGACCATAAAACAGCTAAATATTAAAATACAAGCTTAGAGAGCACTTGAGAGTTTTTATCATTGGGATGAAGGTATCCGGCAGTTTCGGGAACGATAGTATGATGCGGCATACATGCGTTGAAAAGCCTCTGTTTGTTACTCACACTTCGACCTGGCACAGGTAGCAGTGGCAGTTCTCGATGACGTGCGCGTGTTTGGAGCGGTCGAACACGGGGACCGGGCCTCGGACGCTCTTCGCTCTGACATTGTAGTCGGCTGGATCGATGGACACGGCCATGACGTG